CTAACGGCATATTAGTAGGAGCATTGCCAGCAGATCGAGGGAAGTGATTTCCCCCCTCTATTCGGCACTGGTGAGGTCACACCTGGAGTATTGCATCCAGTTTTGGGCCCCACACTACAGAAAGGATGTGGACAAATTGGAGAGAGTCCAGTGAAGGGCAACGAAAATTATCAGGGGGCTGGAGCACATGACTTATGAGGAGAGGCTGAGGGAACTGGGCTTGTTTAGTCTGCAGAAGAGACGAGTGAGGGGGGATTTGATAGCAGCCTTCAACTACCTGAAGGGGGGTTCCAAAGAGGATGGATCTAGACTGTTCTCAGTGGTGGCAGATGACAGAACAAGGAGCAATGGTCTCAAGTTGCAGTGGGGGAGGTCTACGTTGGATATTAGGAAACACTATTTCACTAGGAGGGTGGTGAAGCACTGGAATGGGTTCCCTAGGGAGGCGGTAGAATCTCCATCCTTAGAGGTTTTTAAGGCCCGGCTTGACAAAGCCCTGGCTGGGATGATTTAGTTGAGGATTGGTCCTGCTTTGAGCAGGGAGTTGGACTAGATACCTCCTGAGGTCTCTTCCAACCCTCATCTTCTATGATTCTACTGTCACTGGAGGGTAGATCAGGGCATGTGTGGGATTTGGTTCTATTTTGGGGGGATTGTTTGAACCTGACCCGTCTTTGTTGCAAAAGCTGGTGGAGTTTAGCAGCCCCCTGATTTCTCCTGTGGCAGATCCCAGAGCCCCCAGTCAGGAATGGGCTGGGAGCTGCACAGATAAAGAGAAAGGCACGGTCCCTGCCCAATGATCTTACAATCTAATTAAAGACAGGACATGCCAGGGGCATATAGCACACGCCAGAGGGGAGAGGATACCAGCAAAGGGACGCACGGCTCCATGGACTAGCTGCATACCTCACTTGCCATCTGGCAAGGAATATGGCAGGATGGGGGAGGAGAGAATAGATTTGCATTTGGGGGAGGCCCACGTGGCCAGGGGCCTTTCCCAAGGGGCCTGAAAGTGTCTCTTTCCAGCCCCACGTGTGCAAAGCTTTGTTAAAATCCAGTTACGTTCATGAGGGAAAATGTAAAGAAGGCACATTTCCATGGGAGGAGCGTCACTAGCGGACAGTGGTTAATAGGAGTATTAGACAGATATTCCTTCCCCTCCAGCCCAGCTTTTTTTAATCACCTTCCGCTGCTGTCTTTGAGCCGCAGGATTAATTCTGGCCCTGGCAATGGGCTGTCTGTTCAGGAGCCAACCCGCCAGCCGCTGGGATTTATAAAACCGGCCCCTTCTATTTTCAGCTGTCGCTTAAAACCCCTCGAAGCACCTGCTGCTTCTGCTCAGCCAGTCCCCGGGGAAGCTCCCGAGAGGAGATGCCTGGGCAGCTGCCAGTAAGGTTATAGTTAGAAGCTGATCTTCACTGTCCTGCCCACGATTTGTCTCACCCTCCCTTCCCCTGAGACCTTGCTCCACATTTAAATAAAACTCTTGGGTTCAAGAGTTTATCGGCTTCAGCCGCTCACTTCCCCATTCCCTGCCTCCCGATGCCGAATCGTCTGCCCGCCCCAGCGCTGCTCCCACCCGCCAGCAGCTGCATGGAATGCGCCGGGTGCACTGACAGTGGCTCCGTGCCAGGGCTACGGGGACAGCACAGGTGGCTTCCGGCCAAGCTGACCTGGACAGCAGAGTGCAGACAGGTGACCAGACAGGCCACCTCTGCAGTGGGTGGTGCATTGTGGGACAGCAGCGGGAGGGCTAGGAGCCCAGGGATGGCCCAGGCCCACATTGTGCTGGCCGCTGCACAAACCCAGCACAAAAAGACAGTCCCTGCCCCAAAGTGTTTCCAGGCTGAGTAAATCTCGCTGTGTCCCTGAGTAAGGCTTTGCCCCTGGCTGGAATCTCTGGATGGACGGGCTGTGAAAAGTTGTTTCCGCCCCTTGTCTGCCACATCAAATTCGTATTTATTTGTATGACAGCAGCAGCTAGAGACCGGGGTCCCATTGTGCCAGGGGCTGTACATACCCCTTGGCAGCCCCTGCCCCCCGGAGCTAACAATTGAAACAGACAAGACAAAGGGTAGGACGGGAAACAGAGGCACCCCAGTGGGACTAGCCCAAGGCTACTGACAGAGCCAGGGATTAATCAGGGTCCCCTAGTCCAATGTTCTAGCCACGAGGCCATGCTGCGTCGCAGGGTGCCCAATTAGAGGTTGACCTCTCTGCTGGAGACGAGGCCTTAGCTGTGTTAATGAGGGGGAATAAAAACGAACCGATTGTAGCAGAAACTTCCTCCCAGCCACAAGTCCCCTCCGTACGTCCAGGCATGGGATAATTGCTTCTCGACGCCCCGCTCAGCCTCATGGCTTCCAGAATCCCGGAGCCCTGGCTCTCTGCACTGACACCTTTGGACAGGGCAAGATCCTCAGCTGAGCGTTTCTGTCCCGACTAAAACTCGGGGGATACACGCGATTCAGTCTCGCCTTTTACGTGGTGCAGGACAGGCCAGAGCTCGGAAGGTCAGTCTCGCCCCGTTTCCAGGAGAAAATAGGTGCCCATGTGTTTTTACAGCTTGGCCTTCATAAAGAGAGAGAGACGATGTATGGATCAAAGATAGCTTTGTGTCTTATGAGAGTGAAGGCTCAGTAGCGGCACTGTATTTAGGGCTGGCTCAGCTTTTCCATTCTAAGCCTCTGTGCCAGCGTATGCCCCCCCTCCCCTTTTAAGGGCACGCAATTTGTTTTGGGAAGAGAAACATTTGGGAGTTGAGCTCCTCGATCCTCCGTGGCCCTCGCTGCGCGGCGCTGGCTGGGCGTGCCCGAGCGTTCTCCTCTGGAGAGCCGCATGCCCTAGATGGTGATGCTCTTGATTTCGGTAGCCTGGCCGAGGAGTTGTTTTGCAGCCAGGGAGGGTGGCAGGCGGCGGGGGAAAGTTCCTCGTTTGGGTCGTAGGAGGGCGGGTGGGAGGAGCGCTCCTGGGCGTCAGGAAGCTGAAGGAGTGCGCCGGCCCTGTGAAAATCGGGCCCCTGGCCTAGAATCAAATTGTTGCCACCACGTGACCTTGGGTGGTGGTGGTTATTTGTAATACAGGAGCAATTAGAAGCCCCAGCTGAGCTCCCAGCCCTGCTGTGTCAGGGGCTGCACGTGTGAGACACAGTCCCTGCCCCAAAGGGCTCACAGTCTAACTAGCCAACCCAGGGGAGAAAGGAAACGTCATTGTCCCTCTCGGACAGAGGGGGAGCTGAAGCCCAGAGCAGGAAAGTGACTTGCCCAAGGTCACCCAGTGCAACTGTGGCAGACCCCAGGGGTAAACCCAGAGCTCCTGAGTCCCAGACCAGTGTTTTACCCTCAAGGTTCGTCTTCCTCTCAAAGGGATTAGGGCCTGATTCTCAGTTACCACCAACGTCTAGGGGAGCAATGCAATCCTCAGCACCCTCTGGATGCCAGGGCCTTAGTGCTGCCTCAGTTTACCTAGGTGTGAAATGGGGGTAACCTTGTCTTCATGAATGCTATCATGTTCCTTGAGAACCAGTGAGCAATCGCTGTGAGCGCTGGATTCACTCTCCATCTTCCTGCCAAGCCGCTGGGCACATCCTGAATGGACTGTGCAAAGTTTATTGACCCAGACATTTTTTGGCAAAAAAGATTCAGATTTGGTGACACGGAAACATTTTGTGAATTTGTGTCAATTTCAGCGAAGTCTTTAGCTAACTCCTAAAAACAAACCGAAAAAATCAAAGTGTTCAGATATTTTTTCGATTTGAAACAACTTTTTGTTTCAAAATTTCCTTTCATTTTATTTTTAGAAAATGTAAAAAGAAAAGCGCTCAGTGTTCAACGTGAAACTGATTTTTCCCCCAACTTTTTGATTTGCAAAAAATTATGTTTTCGGTTTGACTCCAAACAATGTTTAAAAACAATTCAGACTTGCCGGTGAACTGAAAAATCGGTCGATCACCGAGCTCTAATCCCAAACTCAGCGCTTGGCGGGAACAGCCGCATGGCTGAAATGTGCAGTCTCAAACCCCAAGCAGGGGGTTCGTGGAGCAGCGTCTTCTCTCTGTCTCTGTCCCTCCTTCCCAGCAATGGTGACATTCCCTCGCTCCTGGAGCCGTGAGACTCCGGAAACATGGCAGAGCCCATGGTCTAGAGTCCCAGCCAATGTACAGCGGAGCCGGCCAGGGCGCAGGTACTGAAAAGCTCGTTCAGGACGTCAGGGACCGTAAATAGTTTGTGCAGTTTGGTTGTGTCCGGTGTTTGGATGGAACTAGAGGCCAGACTCCAAGAGCAGGAAAAATCAGCCAGTGGATAAATAGGAGGTTCTCCCTGCAGAGTCTGTGCCGCTTGGTAATTTTCAAACGGTTTTTGCTCCGTCCAGCAGGGCCGCAGCGAGTGAGACAGTTAGGAGCCTGCCAAGCTGCCTTGCTCCGTGGTGCTACGACAAGAAAGCAGCTTTGTTCACGGGCTCCACGCATGACATGCTTGCTCGATGGCTGCTGGGGCTGGGATTACATCATGTCTCGCGGGGTGCTTCCAGCCTGACTGATGTGTCCCAACATGGGGGCTAACGGGTCCCATGCTCCTGGGGTCACCGTCTTTCCGATAAGTCTGGCCCCTCTGTGATCACGTTGTGCAACCGTTGAGGTGTGAATCCCAGTGGCCTGGCTAAATTCCAGTCGGTGTAACGCCATTTCTGTCTTCCCCACTCCGTTGCAGTTTCATCTGGATACAGCACACATCTCCACTTCCTATTCTAAACCGCTGGTGTAGCGATGTTGTGCCCTGTTAAACAGCTGCTGTGCTCCAACCCAGAGGTGGCTGCATTGCAGCAATGGATGCAGTTTTCCCTGTCTCGGCTTATGGATTTAGGCACCTTTGGATGAAAGGCCAGAAAGAGACATGGGAGGTTATCCCTACCATGGGGACCAAGCTGATATGAATGGGGACGGAGATCAGATTCAGTGACGATTCAGGGTTTTGAGCCCGTTGTTTTTCTCTGTGCTGCAGGTGTTCCCTCTGCCGTCCCTCCCCAGGAAGCAGCCCACAGTGCTTGTGGTGTGTGGTCCCGATCAGAACGGCGCCATCGGCTTGGTGTGCGCACGGCATTTGCGGGTGTTTGTAAGTATCCTTAACAAATCACCCACTTCCTTCTCCGCCACCTTCCTTGCGCTCCTAGGGGTGGGTGGCCCCTCGCTACGATCTCAGTAAGTGAGAGGAGACTTGATCCCATGGCCTCTCGGTCCATGCTAGCGGCCGTGACAGAGGCAGCTCTTTGGTTCCTCAGGGTAGCTGCCCCTGTTAATTCATTCATCAGAGGTTCTTCACCTGCAGTAGGAGATGAAAGGATGGGGACCTGGTATGGATCCCCGTTCTGCATCACCAGTTGGCACCTGACTCAGATCCGCAGGGCCCAGGGCGAGACACCCAGGGGCTGTTTGGGGTCCCAGGAAACTCTGAGACTGTTTCCTGGGGTATGAATCTCCACATGGCAAACTCAACCGGTGCCCCTGGCAGGACCCGGCACCTCTGTGGGCTGCCCTCGCAGAAAGACCCAGGACTGAGTGGGTCACACAGACTAGACCCCTCCCCTTATCTATCCGTTCAGAGCTGAGGGGTGGGGGAGGCCCCCCCTTTCACTGTCTATGAGCCACCTGTTCTGGGGACAGAGGCGCCTTTCACCAGTACTAAAACCCCCTGTAACAACCTTCCTGTGTTCCTGGAGCCCTGGGGCAGCCAGGGAAGGGCCTGGGGCAGCTAACCTGATCTTGCAATGAGATCCAGAGTGTGGAAGCTAATGCAGTTTGGGGGCTGCGTGACCTGAGCAGGTCTGATATCCCATCCACTAGAGGGCAGACAGCAGCCTGTGCATTCAATGGGCCCGATTCTCAGCTGCTTCATTCCCACCCTGGGACACGCTGGGGGAGGTGGGACTTTGGGGTGGTTGAGGACCTGTAGCCACTGTTGTGCTTACCGTGTTCTGAGCACCCCCACGCCCCCAGAGCGAATGAGAGCAGCCCCAGGGCTGCTCTAATTTATGCTCTGCTTCCTGTGGCCCCTAGGAATGGGAGGATAACCCTAGTAGAGTGCTATCCCCAGTGCCAGGGACTGGGCGCAGGGCTGGTGCAGAGCCTTTATGCCCAATGTGCAGAGGCATCCCAGCATGCTCTAGGGAGGTGAATACCCCTTGTCTATCTGATTGCACCCAGAGTCCGCCGGGTCCAGTTCTGAGCTAGAAGCTGGTCATGAAACTGCAGGAAATTCAGGAGCCGCTAAACGCTGCCAGAGCTGACTGACAAATAAAGATCAGACAAGCTAAATACAGCAACTCCCAGCGAATCCCGTGGGAAAGAGTCGGGCAGGGCGGGAGGGAATGGAGCAGAGAAAGCTAAGAAAAGAGCCCCGCGCCCCGGCAGCGAGATCTGTCTGACCACGGCTTGTCTCCTCGGGGGGCCGTGGGACAGCGGTGACATGGTCAATACGCTGCAGGATTCAGTAGGGAAAGCTGCTGCGATAGATGCATGAGGCTGTTGCTGGGAGCTCGCTGGCTGAGCGGCCCTTTCCCAGCCTGGTCCGAGGGCTGCATCGTTCAGCTGTCTCCCTGCCAGATGTCACAGCAGCAGGGTGTGTGTGTGTGTGTGGGGGCACTGGGGTGCTCCCAGCAGGGCAGAGGGATCGCTCTCCTGGTAAACTCAGGGGTGGCTTGTCTTTCCCGGCTCTCTCAGCCTGGGAAGAGCGGGGGGATCTGTCCCGTGTGATGCTGCAGTCTCTGTAAGCGCTGTCAGTCGGAGAGGTCCCAGCGTGGTGCAAAGCCAGGCAGGCCCAGCGGCAAACACCGAATGGGAGCAGATGCAGCATCTCCCTGGACGCCTGCTAACGCCACCCAACCGCCTTCCTTCTCGCCCGATTGCTGGGATACGGGGAGCGCTGAGCAGCTCCTGCTCCATTACTCCTGGCTAACGCAGGCTAGATCATGCCAGGCCCCCAGGGAGGAACCAGCTGGGCCCTGTAACCATGAGCGTCATCCTGCCATTCCTCCCCCCGATCCCTGAGGGGCTGTGGGAAGCCCCCAGGAGCCCACCCAGACAAGCCCCTGGGGGTCTGCCAGCGGGTTAGACCCAGCTCCTGCTTTCGATACAAAGCTCATCCACTTGCCTGCTGCAAACGAGACCCAGAGGCCTGCCCGCGTGTGTCCGGAAATGTTCCCAGCAGCCCATTTCCACGCCCCAGAGGAAAGTCCAGGACCAGCACTGGACCGGTCTGGTTAGAAAAGCCATCGCAAAGATGTTAGCACTGCACCGTGCCCCTCTTCGAGTGCTTTGCAAAGAGTGATTAAAACCCAACTGCCCTGGGGGAGTGCAGGATTCTCCCTGCTCTTCTAGTGGGGTGACGGAGAGTTGCTCAGGGAATTGCATCTTCCAGTGGAACCCAGGAGTCCCGAGTCCCTTCTCCATAGCCACAAGACCACCCTTCCCATCCCTCTGGGGGCCATCTGCTGTGCCAGTCTTTCCGAGTGGGCCGTCCTGCTGAATAACCCCCCTGCCACCGTTTGCTTAGTGCCCCGGCGGTTCCCGAGCCAACGCCCACTGGGCTCAGGGCGAATCTTTCTAGTGATTGCCAGGAGCGCTGGACTGGGCCGCAGGAAGAAGTGGGTTTTATACCCACGACAGCTTATGCCCAAATAAATCTTAGTCTTTAAGGTGCCACCGGACTCCTCGTTGTTTTTGTGGATACAGACTAACATGGCTACCCCTTGATACTGGGCCCCGGGGGGTTTCCTTTCTGCCTGTGGCCCTTTAAGATGCTGCCGGTGGGGGTGGGGGGAGTAGAGGACCAAAGGTGCTGGGTTGCATACAGCTGCCCGTCAAGGTGGGGCAGAGGAAGGAAGGGGCTGGGGTGGGAAGAGGCGTGTTGGGTGCGGGTTAAAGCGTTCTCTCCTCCTCCCCCCTCAGGAATACGAGCCGACCATCTTTTACCCCAAGCGGTCCCTGAATTCCCTGTATCGGGATTTCACCACCCAGTGCGAAAAGATGGACATCCCCTTCCTCTCGTACCTGCCGACGGAGGTGAGCGACTCCCCGGTGGCACGGAGCGCGTGGGCATGGGTGTGTGTGCACATGCAGTTCCCCTCCCCTTTACTCTGCCCACCGAGCCGGCCCCCATTCAGATCCAGAGCATGCGCTCTCCAGCCACGTCGGAGACACGAGCACCCCACCAGAAACCCAAACTCAACAGCCAAAGTTCTTCCGGGGTTTAGAGCCGTCAAAGCCTGGCTTACGCTAGTGCTGGGTGTTGGGGGGGGGAGGGGGGAAGCAGGTTTCTGCAGCCTGGCACAGCAGGGGCTTTATAGGCACTGGGGACCTTGGGAGACTTTCAAATGGCCAGTGTGTGTGTGGGGGGTCTTCTGTGCAGGATTCACCAAGCTGCCGTTGTGCCTAAAGGAAGCGGCTTCCGATCATTTCAACTGCGCCGCGCCGAGCTCCCCTTTCACGAGGGAGATGGCCCAGGGGGTTTCCCCGATCAGCCCCCACGGGGCTTTGTCTGGCTGCTGCACACAGCGGTGCTGCAGGGAGGCAGGTGTGTCCAAGGGCTTAAAGAACATCAGGTTTCTAGCTCTTTTTAAAGAGTGCCCCCGTAGTGCTGTGGGCTGCCTTGCTCCAGCCCGTGCTCTGACTCCAGCTGCAGAGCGATGGTGGAGTGGTGGGGATTTGGAGGGGTTTTTGGCTGTGCCAGTCACATGTGTCTGAGCAGAGCCTCTCAGCTCTAACTCTCCTCGGGGCAGGGACTGTCTTTTCGCTCTGTGTTTGTACAGCCCCTAGCACAATGGGCGCCTGGGCCGTGGCTGGGGCTCCTAGTGCTATAGTAATACAAATAATTAATAATCCTAATTACAGGCAGTTCTTTCAATGCTGGTAAGAAGGAAGGTGCAGGGGCTCCTAGGTTAAACCACCCGGGGTCTAATACTGGTGTGAGGAACCCAAAGGCTGAGACTAGGGGGAAAAGCAGAGCCCAGACTAGATTTGAGGTGTATTCCGTGCGGGGATGGTTTTGGCCTTTTGTTCAGGCATCTGATCCCAGCATCAGGGTTCCAAAAACTCCAAATGGCGAGTGTAATCCGCTCGCTGCTGGAAAAGGAATTACTGAGTCTTATTTCCTACCAGCCCAAACAAACACTGCCAGCTATTTTCTTCTTTAAACATTGGACTCCGTTGGAGGAATGTGACCTCAAATTACTGTCCCGCGTGGCTCCATTCCACTGTATGGGCAAGAGCACAATTGCTTTAAAACCCTTTGGGGTTTTGGTCCCAGATTCTGCCGCAGGCTCTGGAAATGCACAGTAGGAGAAGTTTCTCGTTACAGCAACAATAAGATCAAATATGTTCAATTTAAAACCTATTACAACCTGGCTCCTTTTTGAGGGCAGTGTTTTTTTAAGCTGTGCCATAGAAGTTCAGCATCAGGACAAAAAAAATAACCCTGTAAAATTTTTTTTTTAAAGACCTTGCTTCCGGCCAGCACAGCAGTTTTTCACTCTGACGTCCTGGATGTTAGCAGCTTTTACTAAACCTCCAGGAGACCAGGCCTGCTAACTTAAATCTTGTGATTTCTTCATTCCGGGAAGCCACCTGTCACTCCAATGCCTGTGGTCAGGCCTTAAAGAGAAACCTCCACAGGAGAACGATAGCAAATGACACAAATGAATCAAGCTGGGCTTTCTTGCTGCACTCAGAAGTCCGAGCGCTCTCTCTTGCTCTGCCTTCGTCTTTGGAGACGTCCCCAGGGGAATGTTCCTCTTCTATTGAGGGCCCCGGCCACTTGTGATCATTAAAGATCCTCTGGCAATTTTTGTAAGAGCTGGCGTATGCTGCCCAAACCCCAGGTGTGGCAATTTCCAGCTTGCTTCCCTATAGCCCCCCTGCCGTTTGCATTGTGCATGGGATTATCTTCACTTCCTGGCCTAAACTGCAGAAGCCATGTTGCTACGTGCAGTTAGACAGCTGGAGCCGGATGGTCTTTCATCGTGCCCGTTGGATGACACCCAGTCCACTGCTGTCACACCAACCGGGGGCAATGGCTCATGGTTACAGCTTCTAACCGAAGCCAGTAGCTGCAGCCACCACCTACCGACAACCCCACCTGGCCTGCGGCTAGAGTGCGCACCCTTAACACTGAACGACGCTTGCTACAACCCACATGTGCCTACTCCTCCTGCCGAGCCACTTCCTGAGCCCCCTGCGATAGATATAAACTGCCCACAGCTGTTCTCTCTCCAGCGCGCCAAGCTGGCCAGACTGTTCCTAGAGGTTGATCTTCAGTGCTGGGCAAAAGTTCCCGGCTAATTTGGATGGCAGCTGGTCCTTTTCTCTGCATCCAGGGCATGTTGTAGGGGGACACTTGGATGAGGGGAGAAGGCTCTGGGAGATGCTTCTCTTTCTCATTGAATGGTACTGTCAGTCGTTCGGGGCCTTGCAGCTCTCACGGAGCCAGCGTGCTAACAACATCTGTCCCGTCTCCGTAGGTGTGGCAGGGAGAGGGGAAGTGCCCACGGAGAGCTCGGCAGGCAGAGGGGAGGGGGCCGTGCTCCAGCATGAGGGTCCGTACAGGGAGAACATGGGGTAGGGCAGCCAGGACCCCCAGTGCACTGGAGCGGGTGCACTCGGTCACCTTGGCCTGTGTGCGCGGGAGTCCACGGAGGGCCTGTGGGCTGGACGAAGCCCCCCTGCCGGCCGGGTGCCGTGAGGCTCAGGCTAGCAGATGGGGGTTGCTGACTGGGTCCCGCCCCCTCCAGGTCCAGCTGATCAACGACGCCTACAACGTGGTGATTGACGCCATCCTGGGAGCCGACGCCGAGCCGGGGGAGATGAAGGAGCCGTACACCAGCATCTTAGGCACCCTGAAACAGATCCGGATCCCCATCGTCAGCCTGGACGTGCCCTCAGGTGGGGATCCCAGAGCCTCCCCGGGGGACCCCCGCCTCTCGCCTTACCCTCTCCTATTGGCACTTGCTCTCCCCACCCCGCACCCGAGAATGCTCAGCCCTGGTTACCCGCCTTTCGCCACCTCGGGTCCAAGTGGCTGCAGGGTCTTACTTCGCCCTCCCCTTCTGCTCCTCCCAACCCCCTCTCTGTGGTCCCATCCCCTTCCTGCTTGTCCTTTCCTGCCCTGGGAGTAGCCGGCAGGATCCGATCCACCAGGCAGCCCTGACCCAGCCAGGGCCTTTGTCCTGGGTGGCAAAATTCTGGGCACAGCCACAGCTGTAACAATAGGAAGGGCTGATCACCAGCCAACCCGGTAAGGACCCCCCCACCTCCCGCATCTCTCTCGAGCCCCTCTGCAGCCAGGGACCCCTGGGGTTACTGGTTACGTGCTAAGAACAGCTTCAAGGAGAGCAAACCCCAGGCCAGATCAGTCATATCATCGTGTGCATGAGAGCGGAGGATGGATAGGACTCTCCTGGGTTCTGGTCTCAGGTCTGGGAGGGAAGTAAGGTTTAGTGGGTTAGTGCCTCAGTTTCCTTCCCTGTGTAGACTAGGGAACATGGTCTGGGCCTCCCGAGTCTCGTGAGGCTAAATTTGTAAATGTTTGTAAAGGGCCTTGAACTGCAGACTGAAAGCCACTGGTGAACTAGGGCCGTGGTTCTCAGCCTTTTCCATTCCGGGACCTCCCCTTTAACTGGGACCTCGCTGGGGCCCCTCCCACGCAGCAGTGCGGTGGGGAGCCTGGGAACTGGAGTGCTGAGGAGAGAGGCAGATTAGCGGGAGCGAAGCCGGCAGTCAGCACTGCTTGGTCTCTGCTGGGCTAACGAGAGACGTTCGATGGGGTTTGTAGGAGCAGCTGAGCGAGTGGCCCCAGGAGTGCAAGTGCTGCCTGTAGGCCTGGGTTCGAATCCTGCCTCGGGCGGCTAGTGAGAAGCGAGTCCACGGTGGGATCCAGCCACAGGGGGATCTGCTCACATTACAAAGCCAGCCTGCAGCGTCTTTTGGGGGTGCAGCTGATCGGGACGGGGGGGTGTTGCCAGAGCTTGGAGCAGGCACCTTGCACAGTGATACGCTGGAGCTTATGCTCTCGGACGCCCAGCTTCCATGGGCGGGCGCTTTCCCGCCGTGTGACATGAAGGAGGGCGTGGTGCATGTCTGCGATCCAGATGAGCAGCTGGATGCTGTGCTGATGCTTAGCTTCCGGCGTGGCACGGAGACAGTCCCTTCTCCTCCCTGAAAAAGTGACCTAGCTTCTCCTCTGGGGCTCTGACCCTGGGGAGCATTTGAACCCTGTCTCCTGCGTGCCAGCTTCCCCTATTCCTGGGTGTCCTTCGCTTGCCAGCGGCTCTGGCTCCCAGCTGAAAGGGAGCTGCCTCGCGATGCATTCAAGGCATTTGTAATAAATACTACGCTCCCCAAAGTGAGACATGATGTAATTTCGTGTCTGGTGGCCGGGCCTGGTATTGCCATCAGACTGCAGCGAAAACCCCTGCGCTGCCCAGCCAGGGGAGGAACAAACAGGAGCCCTGGAGATTTAATGTGCAAATTCCCACCTCATGCCAGGGCCTGCGTGGGAGAAGCCGTTCTGGCTCTGTCCGGCCCTGCGTCCCCTAGGCTGGTCACTGCCATGGAGCGGGGGGACACACACCTCACTCCTCAGCTGAGTTGGTACGGCGCTGCTGAGCTCTGCTAGTGCCCCTTCCACTCCGTCTGCTGGGTTGTGGGTGCGAGACCAGCTGGTGTGGGCAGAGGAGACACTGAGTTCATTAATCTACCGGGTGGGATGGAAACCAGCCACCCTGCTGCTTGGCATTCTGCATCCGGTTATTTATTTGTATAGCCCTGTTGACGGGGCATCGCAGCTCACTGACCCTAGCTGAATTCCACCCTAGGAAGAGGCATTCTGCCTCTCTCTAAATTCCCTGAGTGGCAAGAACTGGAGCCGGCTTCCTTCTTGGCTTCCTCTCCCGCCGCGTTGCTGTGGGCCAGGCGCACAGCTGCTGAGTTCCACACTAGAAGTGGCTGCATGTCAGGCACGAGAGACTAGCCAGAGCACACAGTGTCCCCTGATCGCTCCTGAGGGGCACAAAGGGGCTCTTCACCCAGCCGAGGTGTGATGGGTTTGGTCACAGAAACCCCCTTGGGACTGTCACATGATGTGCTGAATTTACCTCTGAGTCCGTTTTCCCTGCCAGCTTGGGACTCCAGAACCCTGCCTTGTTGAGCCAGACACGCTAGCCTGTTTACATAGACCCAGGTCTGGTCCATGCCCCCAAAGCTGCAGACTTTAACCAAAAACTGCTCAGCGGGTCACCTATCTCCAGCACCCAGACACCCAGTTCCCAGTGGGATACAAACCCCAAATAAATCTGTTTTACTCTGTATAAAGCTCATAATTGTCCGCCCTCTATTACACTGATAGCGAGATATGCACAGGTGTTTGCTCCCCCAGGTATTAATCACTTACTCTGGGTTTATTAATTAACAAAAATGATTTTATTAAGTATAAAAAGTAGGATTTAAGTGATTCCAAGACAGAACAAAGTAAGTTACCAAGCAAAATAAAAACAAAACACACAAGTCTAAGCCTAATGCATTCAAAAACTGATTACAGGTAAATCTCACCCTCAGAGATGTTCCAATAAGCTTCTTTCAGAGATTAGACTCCTTCCTAGTCTGGTCCCAATCCTTTCTCCTAGTAAAGTCCTTGTTAGTTTCACCAGGCATCTTAGGTGAAAAGCAGGGGCTTTTTCATGACTGGGACCACCTTTGTTCTGTTCCACCCTCTTTTATATCTTTGGCACAAGGTGGGAATCTTTTGTCTCTCTGGGTTCCCACCCCTCCTTCTAAATGGAAAAGCACCAGGTTTAGGATGGATTCCAGTATCAGGTGACATGTTCACATGTCCTGTGAGACCCCCTCCATTCTTCCAGGGCTGGCCTGCATCTATACAGGAAGGCTTGCAGGTAAATAAACCATTTACAATCAATTGTCCTGGTTAATGGGAGCCAACAAGATTCTAACCCATCATTAATGGCCCACACTTTGCATAATTACAGTAGGACCTCAGAGTTATACTTCATATTCCTAGTTTCAGATACAAGAGTGATACATTCATACAAATAGGATGATCACACTCAGTAGATTATAAGCTTTGTTATGATACCTTACAAGAGACGTTTTGCATAAAGCATATTCCAGTTACATCATATGCACACGTATAAACATATTTTTATAAAGCAGATGACGTGCACCGTCACATGAGGATTGGTCCCCGTGTCGCTGGGCGGGTGCGTGTGATCTGGACACTCCTGTTAGTGACATGGGGGGAAAGGCAGACGTAGGAATGAGTTTGAAAATCTGCTCCTCACCAACGTGCAAGAGCCTGCAGGGGGATGAGGGACAGGTTAGGCTATTAACAGCTCAGCTCCCTGGGAACTCTGATCCCCGCCCTCCCAGACCTCACCTTGCACACAGCTGGGCTGTGGGGTGTCCCCTTTCCCCACCTAACTCCTCCCTGTCAATGCCGCTCCTGCCCGCCCGGCTTGCCTCTCACCTTTCCTTCCTCTCCTTTGCCACGGCAGGGTGGGACGTGGAGACGGGAAACAGCGAGGGAATCAGCCCTGACGTCCTCGTCTCCTTGGCCGCGCCCAAGCAGTGTGCCACCCGCTTCCTGGGCAGGCACCACTTCCTCGCCGGCCGCTTCCTGCCCTACGACGTGCAGAAGAAATTTGAGCTCAACCTGCCCGAATACCCAGGCACAGAGTGTGTGGTTTCGCTTTAAGGCTCTGGGGGGGCGGGGATGGAGAGGGGAGTTGGGAGAGTGGGGGAGGAGAGGAAAAGCCACCCAGCTCCTCCATAATAAAAAGGCTTCAAAGCGTTTTGTATTTTTTTGAGCAGCCAGGTGACTCCCTGCTGGGATGCTGCGTCCTGGCACCAGGGCCTGGCTTCCCAGCCAGAGGCCATGCAGCTCCCAGGGAGGGCGTCTGCTGGCAGGAGGTCCTTGGGCATCTCAGGCCACCGTGACCAAGCCTTCATGTTGATCATTTAAACTCGGGGCGGGCCTAGGGGATCAAAGGCAGCGCTGAGCCAAACCCCTCCCCTCGCGTGGGTCCCGCACCCCCGGCGTCTCAGCCCAGGGCGCGGGGTTGAATTGTGGAGTCATAGAGGCCACTGTGTCGTTTTGCGGCAGGGTGAAGAAGGCCGGGTGGCTTGTTCCTGGGCTGCAAGGAACTCAGATACCCCAGTGACGGGCACCCATGTAAGTGCCTTGCTGGATAGGTCCCTCCAAGACGAATTGCTTCCCAAAGGCAGGTGGAGGACGTATGGCAGGAGGAAACGTACGCTCGGCCCCTGGCAGGACGGGCCCATCTGACCTCACCAGCCTTTTCCATCACTCCCTACCCTGATCCACACGTTGGGATTTATCAATGCCCTTTTCACAGGAATCCTCGGTAAACAGGAGCCTGCTCCGCAGCCAGCCAGTTGGCAGGTCGCTGCTGCCGCCGGCCGTGGAAAGAGCAGAGAGAGGCAAAGCCGGCGGCACAAGAGGAAGGATCAGGGAGCGATTTCCTCCAGCAGTAGTTAGTCCAGCTCTCGCCCCGCGGGCCTCAGCCGCTGGCCCTTGCGGGGGTTGAGGAGCACAGCACTCAGCTGCTGCTCTTGTCGGAGATCTGTCTGCATGTGGAAAGGGAAGGAAATGACCTCCCTCTGCACTTGCTGTGCCCGGGCGGTAACCGCCCAGCGGCCCCTCAGCCAGAGAACAGGGCTCTCCTTGGGTTGCTGGCTGCTGTGCTGTGGCCATTGGGCCTAGAAGAGTTCCGTGCTGCTTTCCCCAAGCTGCCAAGAGCTAGGGGTCTCTGAGCCCCCCACCCGGGAGGCCTTGGAGCCGGCGGAATGGCTGGGGTGGGGTAACCACCGAGGAAAGCGGAGCTGAGGCTGTGGGTTCACGGGCTGGTCAGCACTGCCCTGCTTAGTGCAGTGATGGGCGGTCCAGCGCATGTCACTAGCAGAGGATTCCCCTAGAGGTAACGGGGACCCAGGCTAGGACCATGGCCTCCGGGCTAACTACCGCAGGCAACCGTGATTTGGGTGGCCCCTGCCCGAAGCGGTGGCCGGGGCTGTTCCTAGCCCGGCTGCTTTGCCGTGCGGGGAGAAACCTGCATTTTTCTGCAGATCAGTGAAATCTCCAGGGGCCAGATGCCACCACCCCCTCGCCCCTCCCCGCATCATCGTCCACTTGTTCTTTGTAGCCACTCTGTTTGCAGCAGCTCCCGGTTTCCAGGGGCAGGGAAATGAAAAAGCGGCACTTAGGTGTCAGCGTTCCCTTTCCGTGTGCAAACGGCCCTGGGCACTGGCCTGGCGAGTGTGTTCTCTGAAGTAGGAAGCAGAGTAGAGCTGGGTGAAACCGATTTTATTACCGGTGCTTAGTACCTGTGAGCAGCCTCCCTCCCTGTACAAAGCAACAGAGGGTCCTGTGGCACCTTTAAGACTAACAGAGGTATTGGAGCATGAGCTTTCGTGGGTGAATACCCACTTCGTCAGACGCAGTTAGCGAGACTCAGTTAGCGAGACCCAGCAAGAGAGGAGGACCTGCTGCGGTTTACACAGCGAACGCTGCATCCCAGCTCAGCTTGTTCCACTTATGTTCGTACATTTCTTCTGTACGACGCTGTAGCCTGGCTAACGGGCATTGTTGCTGAGTGAGTGCACGGCTCAGTCGTGGGGCACCCCCACAGCCTCCCCAAATCCAGCCCGATATGCTGCCTCGGGGCCAGCAGATAGCGGCAGCAGGACCTGCCCCCCATAGCATTTAAGGTGGGGCCTGGGGTGAGTCACACGGCCTGATTCTGCACTAGGGCAGCTAAAGGGAGTTTTGTCCTTGACCTCAATGGAAGCAAGATCAAGCCCAGAGCCTCCCTACAGCTTCCTTCTCCCCAGGCACATGAGGCAAGCGACTTGCTTCAGTGGCTCCACTGGGCCACAGCTCTGGCCTGGTTATGCGCCCCTCTCCCCCCAGCCCAGGATGCTTTGGCCACTCCCCCCACGGACTCTCGCTTTTCTGATCGAGGCCCTGTCGAGCTGTCTGGACGCTGGTTCTCCAGCTCCTGCCTTTACCTCCCCTGACCTGAGCACGCCACTGAGCCACAGGCGGGAGACCCACGAGCGGCTGTGCTCTGCGAACCTGCCATCCTGCCGCCTGCGGAGGTCACGCGGGGTAACCTGCAGGCTGGGCAGGGCGAGCCAGGGGAATCGTGTGTGTGTGTGTGTAGCTAGCGCTGTACTATTTGAATGAGGATTATCCATGTCAGTGACGGCAGCGTCCGCCCCGCAGGGGGAATTGAACGGCCTAGACTCAGGGCCAGGCCTTGTGTGGCGGAGCACAGCGGGGCAGGTTGGTCCCTTGGGATTTGCGCCTGCGTGTGTCGAACGTTTCTGTGTCTGTGGGCTCCTGGAGCTTCGTGGTTTGCGTGCAAACAGAAAGCCAGGGGAGAACGCTGCTAATAAAGATGGGCTTGGAACCGACCCAAAGCGCCTGGGCTTTTTATTCAGCGTGTCCGCTGGGTGTTAAGAGCTGCCTGGGGCCCTTCAGACAGAGCAGGGCTGTCAGTTCCACTCGGGCTGTACGAAGACGTGGGCTGCCATTTGAAACCCTGCCACGCCCCTGCAACGCGCCTTAGCCTCTGCTCAGCCCTGGCTCCTGCACCCTGAGGTGCACCAGGGCTTGCCTGTCAGGAGAACCATTTGCAGCTCATTTGGAAATGCCGGAGTGAGACTGGCACGGAGGGAGCTGTGCGGGAGGGAAAGCTCGTCCCTAGACGCCGGTTAAACGTCTCCGGCCGCCTATCGATTGGCAGCTGTGCCCAGCCACAGGAGGGGAGCTTAGGAGTCAGCAGTTTCTGGGTACCCCTGAACACAGAGCCCCAGCCGAGCCTGGGGCACCCGCTGTGCTAAATACTGCACAGACCCTGACTGAGACGGGTCCCCGTGGGGCTGGATGCTGCCCAAAGACATCACCTGTACTGATCACCTCGTGGGCGCTACCATTAGTGGAGGGGGAGTCCTGAGTCTCCCCATGGAAATACTGCGATGGATGTGATCCGAAGATACACCTCCCAGGAGGTGGCTCTCCAGGAAATGACATATCCTGCAAGGCCAGAGCCTCAAAAGCAATCCAGCCCCTTTGCACTGCATGGGGTGTGGGGGGGTGTCAGGAGTAGGGTGCAGAGTTCACCTCTGCTGGGCCAGTCCTCCACCCGCAAGGACCATCAGTCAGAGGCGTAAGTCAGAGCAACCCCAAGGCTGCTCTAACCTTGCGGGTCAGGTGCCAAGGGGCACTTGGACACTGAAAGAACCTGGTCCCCGGCATCGCCAGAAGGCCGAGTGATCGTGGGGAGGGTTGTTAGCCAGTCAGTCCTATCTCTGTGAAATGCGTCATCTCCAGACATCGCCTGAGCTTGTGCATCTGCAGAAGGGGGCTGATCCATCTTGTTGCCCCCTGCCAAGTGGTAGCAGGTGTTGAGGCCTTGCAGGTTGGTTTCCTACTGGAGGAGAAAGGTCTATTTCCTGGACTTGCAGGGGTGCTGCTATGCCCCATTCCTCGCCCGGCGCTCTGCCCCTCAGCCCATTGGATTGGATTTCTTGGAGCTTTGCGGAACAGGAGCAATTCCCCCATCACTGTGGGAGGGGGTGGGGGGGTTTAAAGTGCAGTTTGCTCTCAGGAACCTGACGACAGGCTCCTGTTGGCATCGGAGATTCACAGCCCTTAAGGCCAGCAGGGGCTGTTACGGTCACCTAGTCCCACACCTGCATCGCCCAGGCCAACCAATTGTACCCAGGATTCCTGCATCCCGCCCAACCGAAGGGACTGTCGCTTTTCGGGAAACGACCTGTGCTGGTTTGAAGATGCCCAGGGACAGAGAAGCCAGTTTAACTTCCCTCCCTGTTCAAAAGGCGCATCTTACCCCCAGTGCGAATGGAGAATAAACCCTCTGCGTGGGTCAGAGTGAAGCCCGCCCACTCGCGGACTGCCGGCCCCAGGGGGTTCCCCATTGTGCCAAGGGTCGAGTTCTCCACCAGCCTGCTAATGCCAGGTCCTTCCCCTGGGCTTCTGCTTCGCCCTGGGCCCGTGCGCGGGAAGCACCGTCCGGGCAAAGCAGGCAGCTAATTGTGCCACTCGCGAGTGACAGCGTCACTGGTCCTGCCGGGCTGGCGCTGCCTGGGCACGGAGTGTCTCCCAAGGGACCATTGCTGGAGAAGTGGCCTGTTAACACCCCTCCAGTGATGGGGGGAAAGGAAGGAGGGAGGGAAAGCCTGTGTGTGTGTGTGTGTGTGTGTGTGTGTGTGTGTGTGTGTGTGTAAAAGGCTGTGTGTGTGTGTGTGAGAGAGAGAGAAAGGCAGCATGTGTATGTGTGTGTGTGTGTGTGTGTGTGTGTGTAAAAGGCTGTGTGTGAGAGAGAGAGAGAGAAAGGCAGTGTGTGTGTGTGTAGCGGAGTCCACGATCATTAGTGCCTAGCAAAGTTTATGCATTTAAGCTCCCCGACGCCTTGTGCAGGGATCCTTTGCCTGCCCGGGCCCATACAGAGCGATGGCTTTGTGAGAGGTCTTGGCCCAGAGGTGACAAGGTGGTTGGGATTGTCTGGTTTCACCCCGTATACTGGACGAGGTGCACCCCGTGTTGTGCCAGGCGTGTGTGGATCTCCACAGGTGGGGGATGCTGGGGGGGAAACGGGATCAGACCTCTGCAGCTTTTGCATCTCTTGCCCTGGCAGGGGCTGGGTTGTG